CATGGATCCTCTGCTAGAGCTTGAGGCTCCTTTGAGATCTGCTTCGCCACGCTGCTGGTGCCTACATCACATGAGCTTGAGGCTGGTGGATTCTGTTGCCTTGCTTAAGCTCCTGAGGCTCTGACTATTGGTGACCCACTCCACTGTCTGCTTCCTTGACCTTGGACCTGGCAGCCCACGAGTTGAAGGACTTCCAGTATATTAACTTCCACGGAAGTGAGTTTAACTGAAACCTCTGTACTGCTATGTGAACTCTATAGTTCTTCTTGCTGTATAAACTTATCTATCTATCTATCTATCTATCTATCTATCTATCTATCTATCTATCTATTATATATGATCATAAGTCTTCTGGTTTTGTTTCTCTAGAGAACCCTGCCTAACACATTTAGCAACCCAACTGGTAACCCTTGAGTCTACTCCAAGTAAGAAGACACAGCTGCAAAAACCTGCTAACGGTTGGAAAGTGAAACACACGAAGTATGAATTGGGAACATTGGAGGTCGTCAATAATGAAATTGGCCATATCAAGATCGATATCCTAGGCATTAGTGGGTTGAAATGTATTCAAAACTGGCCATTCAGAATCAGAAAGTCATATGCTTTACTATGCCAGTAACGACACAATCAAGAAGCCCTGCCAACCTCTGTCTCAATAGAGGACCCTGGGGCGAGCGGGGAGCCATGCATCTCCCTGGGGCTGGGTGTCACACCACTGTTTCAAGGATACCTACCTGGACGAGGACCACACAAGAAACGTGAAGCCCAGCTTTGAACTCTTGGGTATGATTAAGTTCTTTCACAAAAAAATCCGTGTCTGCAGCCCTCCTCAGGCACACTGGGGCTTGCACTTTCCCTCCCCGGAGATGGTGACACATCATTTCGTCTGTTGTGAGTCAGCTGCCCTTGACTCACAGCTGTTTCCATCACTTCCGCCCGCCCCTCCTGTCAGTCTCTCCCGTTACAGGTATGCAGGAGAGCCTGGAACACGGGCTAGCTGCGAGTGTGCTGGATACCAGGCCCTGGGCTGTCTTTTATTGAATTCTTCACCCAAGAGGGAGGTTTGGTTGTTTTCCCCCACTTTCCAGTTGCGAAGACTGACTGCCACAGGCAATGTGATAAGGTCATATCTGTGACGGAGGAAGAGCGGTGTGGCACGGCACCACACAGCCTCAAAACACCTGCAACAACAACGACCAAACAGAAAGAACAGCAGAAAGCCGGGGCAGACCCAGGACTTCATTTCTGGCCCTTTCCCCCCTACGATGAGTCAGGCGAGATGCTGGGAAGAACCCATCGCGGTCATGCTGCGATGTCGACGACAGAAACTCCTCCCAGCCCAGTGAACCGCAAGGCCAGCACTTCACAAGCGTCTAACAGTTGCTGGCAATCTAAATGTCTCCTTTCCTTGCTCCCTCTGGGGGAAAAAAAAAAAGGAAAACCACCTGGGAACTTTACTTTTACAAAGAGACCCCCATTTCAGCTTTAGCGAGCGTCTTGCCCCATCCCCACGTCAGGGTCACGCTGAGATGTTGGCTGTGGCGTTAGAGGATCCGATGCGCTGCAGAGTGGCAGGGAAGGAAGGTTAATACTCAGTCATCCTCATCCTGGGTTAGCCTGGAGTGTGGTCTTTACTTCAGGGGCCCAGGGCATGTGGCAGCCCCCTCCTACCCATTCTGCAGGGGTTGGTTTGCGGGAAGGTGGAATCCTTGGGTAAGTCCAGACCCTTGGAAGGTGCTGTTCTGCATATGCCCACAAGGTGGCGGACAATGCCCCCATGAGGAAGGCAGAGTACTCATCTGGCAGGGGGTGAGACTGCAGATTCCTGGAAACCCATAGGGTGAGCATTTGTTTTTGTGCCTTTTCTACAAATAGCCATACTTAAAAAGAATTCCGAAGCTGGGAGCATGATGCTTTGGTCAAATGCCTCATCCAATCAATCAGTGTTCAGCCAGCAGTCCCAGAGCCCCGTTGGACTGGCTTTCTCCTCTTCTGAAACAGCACGTTGTGATTCTTTTCCTTAGACAAAATGTGGACTGGCTTGCGTCTTAACCACGTGGATTCGGGAGTAAGGTGGTCCCTTCAGATGTCTCTGATGCAATGGCAGGCCAGGTTTTGCTAGTCTCTGCTCCTCCCATCTCAAGACCCCAGAAAGCCACTGGCAGAAGAAGCAATCCAGGGCTTCACCTGTTCCATACCACTTCACGCCATCCAGCCAACGATGCTCATCGCCCACACCTTCTCTTGACACAGACCCGCTCAACTGCTTGAGAAGCTCAACTCCTCATCTTGGCAAGAAGAAATCATTCACGGGAACATGATCCCAGAACCCATGGGGTTGGGAAGACAGGCTGGGTGGGTGAATGCAGCGTGCACTGTCTGAGGAGGATCAAATTCAGCCTGGCCGGGGTACTGCGGCCATAGGAATCCTTAGAACATGGTGGTCACAAGTAGGGGCCAGCTGATGGCCCAGTGGTCAGAACAGGTGAGCGAGCAGACCAAAGGGCGATAAGAGGTGCAGGGCAGCATTCTGACGTCGTTTTCTTATTAAATACTTTTACTGGGGGCTCTTACATCTCTTATCCCAATCCATACATTCCTCCAGTGTGTCAAGCACATATGCTGCCATCATCATTTTCAAAGCATTTCCTTCCTACTAGAGCCCCTGATATCAGCTCCCCATTTCTTCCCCTTCCCTTCCTCCCTCATGAACCTGTGATAAGTAATAGATTATTATTTTCATATCTTATATCCTCCTCCATTACCCCTCACCCATTTTTTTGTTGTTCATCTCCTTGGGAAGGGGTTATAGATTGATTCCCCCTTTTCTCCCCCCACATTCCCCTAATCCTCCTGGTATCTCTATTCTCCTTGTTGGCCCTGAGGGATTTATCTATCCTGGATTCCCTGCTCTTAACTGTAGCAGTGTGCATGTTCCAGTCTACTCTGATTTGTAAGGTAGAATTGAGGTCAGGATAGTGGGGGGGAAGGATGCATTAAATAAGTAGAGGAAAGTTGTGTGTTTCATCGGTGCACCCTGATTGGCTCATCTCTTCCCTGTGACCTTTCTGTGAGGGGATGTCCAGTTGGCTACAGATGGGCATTGGGTCTCCACTCCATGCCACCCCCCAGCCCCCCTTCACACTGGGTATTGTTTTCTTTCTTTCTTTCTTTCTTTGCACACACTGCTTTTATCAGATGATGGTTGTTAGCTGAATGAAAACAAATAATAGTTAAAAAGCGTCACGCTGAAAAACATACTTGGGTACGTTATGACACATTTTTTTTTAGTCAGACAATAAAAAATGGTACATTCTTGCACCACCTGCCAATGCAAAAAGTTAAACAATGAATAAGTCAACTTAAAAGGTCAAAGACAGCCCCAAACATATTCACGATCTTTTGACATTTCAGACAAAGAAACAGAATAGAAGGAAAATTATAGATTGATTCCCCCTTTTCTCCCCCCACATTCCCCTAATCCTCCTGGTATCTCTATTCTCCTTGTTGGCCCTGAGGGATTTATCTATCCTGGATTCCCTGCTCTTAACTGTAGCAGTGTGCATGTTCCAGTCTTACACATACACCATGATAATAGTCTTACTTTTAGTGACTTTCCTTATCACTCTTTCCTAAAAGCACGACGGCACCGCGAGCCTCATTGCAGATCATGGAGCAGCATCTCGTGGGCTGCGAGGCATGCAGGCTTGTTCACTAGCGGCATCGATGAGTTCACTTTCAGAGACCAGTCATGTAATAAATCATGTGGATCCTTGGGTCTCTGGAAGTTGATCATTCCTGCCAGCCTGTCTACTTTAGCAGAGACGGTCTTGCTACTACGAGATTTGAGAGAAAGGCCCCTGCCTCATCCACAGATCCAGCAGCTGTGCCATAGTCTTCATGGTTACCCGGGTGTAATATTTGGCTATTAATCTAATATTACGTTCAGCAACTCTGTTCTTCAAGTCTTTCCATCTTTTTCCACCTTCCTCTGCGGAGCTAAAAGCATCAATTGCTGGACTCTCGCAAGAGCCTTTCTTAAGTCCACGCCATAGTCCTCCACAAGTGTGGTCCAGGGCATCAACTCCATGGTGGGAAAAAGCTTCAGAAGACCCTTGAGCTTGGGGATTTCTTCTAACTTCTTGTCAGCACTCGCTCGGGGAACCAAATCTGACTGCTGACTGTCGAATGGAGCCAGGAAAACAGAGAAGCATGCTCATCAGAGCCGGCTGCCACGTCCCGCTTTCTGCCTGCATGCCAGAAGCGTCGTGAATTGCTCTGTGGTGTTTACAGATAGACAAGTAAGCGCCTTTATGTGGATCCAGCTGAATCATTAAGTTACAATACTCCAACTTCAATTTCTCTGTGTTCTCCTCCTGGAAAACCTGGGCGTCATTTTCGTGCTGATGCTTTGTGTCCAGATGGAATCCCTCACAGCAAGGCAGAGCCGCATCTGCTCCACGATAAACCCCACTCGCTCGTTCCTTCCCATCGACCTGCACGTTTCCACCTGCAGCTCTTGGAAGACGGAGGCTGCCTCTTTTCTTCTTTTACGGTTGTCAATGTTTTAGTCAGGCGAGCCTGCTCGATTGCAACATAAATCTTCCTCTCTGTGACCCTTCGTAGCGTCTCAGTTCATCGAAGTTTGGTTAGGAGGCCTGTGATTTCCTCAACGTAAGGAGAGCGCTGTTGAACCATTTTTGGAACAGCTTGTCCTAACTGACTGCATCTTTTTGACAAAGGCTTCATACTTTCATTTAGTAAATCCCATTCTTCAGCCTCATAGCACATCTTACTACTGCCACGACGAGCCGGGCTGGAGCCACCATGTCTGAGGCCGCGCGGGTGTGCTTTTCCGAGGAGACGAGGTCTCAATGCCTCCTTGACGTCTTCCTTCCTCGGCCAGCTTCTCGCACTCCGGCAGACGCTGAGCCACTAGCCTGGTCCCAGCCGCCGTCCGTCCGCCATGGTTTCTGCCCCAGTGTCCCTTGACGTGCCTCTGTTTCCCCCTGAGGCTGTTTTCAACAGGCTGAATTCGAGACTGTTTCAAGGCTGTTCACACTATGGTTTCGATGCAGACAGGGCTAACTGGAGAACGTAAGGATTGGGATCCTTATTGAAACAACTGAGTAAAAGTAAGTGGCTCTGAGTTGTTTTCATTGGTTGCTGCCTTAGTCCGTTCGCCTTGCTATAACAGAAATACCACAGTGGATGATGGTTTCAGTCAGCAGAAATACAGTCTTTCATAGTTTAAAAGGCTGTTGGCCCAAATCCAGGGAAGGGGTTCTCTGTGTTGGCTCTGGAAGAAATCTTCACCTCCTTTCAACATCTGGGTCAGATGGTCTTGGAGAGCCGCCCACGTCCTGGCGTCAGTGTCCACCTAGCTCTGGGAGATTTGCAGCACAGGGACCGCCAGTTCGTCTTTCTTGGTGGTAGTCAAATCCTTGATCTTTGCTTAATCCTGGACCCTTTGCTAAGCCGCTTGTCAGGCGACCCTCAAGGCCGCTCGTTCACAGCAGATCAGGGCTATTCCCCACCTCGGTGACGGTGCTCTTTCCCACCTGAATCTCCGTGCAATTGATTGGGTGATCACATCTGGTCACATCGCGGGGACGATCCATTACACAACATCCAAAAGTTCCTGGGGGAAAATTCATTATCTTTCCATTCCACTGCCCTATGGACAATCTGAAGCCCCTTCGTATAAGTGCCAAGCCACTGAGAACCAGGGCCCAGCCAAATTGACACATACTCAGGGAGGACACTATGCAATCCATGAGCGTTGTCTTTGCGTTGACTCTGACCTTTTAGAAAGCATCTTCAGGACCACTGGTCGATCAGCGTCCATTGTTGCAGGTAGTGTCAGTTCACCTCATTGAAGGAACACCACTAGCTCTACTTCACCAAACAGGAGGTCCTTTTTCAGTGATTGCCCTTCTCTGAGGATACATCCAAATGCATTAAGTCAACGTCTTACCATATTTGATCCCAAGGAGCATTCTGGTTATATTTCTCCGAAGACCGATTTGTTCTTCAAATGGGTAATTAGCATATTTCAAATCAGGGCTTCCAGGGAACAGAGTCTCTCTTTGAAATGGCTCAGATGCACTTTCTGCATAGCCGCTTGGACCGGCCTGCTGCTTTAAATTTCCTCAGCCAGCGCCGCACTGTTGGCCAAGATTACCCTATGTTTTGGTGGCCCGGGGTTAAGGGAAAGGTCAGTGAGTCCAGCCCCTCAGCCACTGCCCAGGGAAAGATGAAGCAGACTGCTTCTGTGAAGATTCCCGTCTTGGAAACCCTAGGGGGCAGTTGTGCTCTGTCCACGAGTCGGCATGGACTCAAGGGCAGCGGTGAGTGGGTTTCTGCTCCCTTCCCAGAGGCCCATTCCGGCCTCTTTCTACTCCACGTGACATCCCGAGTGCCCTTCCTAAATACGATCACGTTCCTCCCAGGTTTAAACTCTTCCCCTGGAGCAAAGACAGAATGTTTCACAGGAGCATCATAGATGATGAGAGCGAGGCGGTCCGGCCTTTCGGTCCCCCCAGCTCCATCTGGAGCAGCTCCTCTGCACTGCGGTCGGTCCTCTTAGCCTCGGCCCATTTCTAGACCGCACCCACCTGCTTCAGAGCCTCTGCGAATGGCACTAAGAACTTTTGGAATCAGAGGCCCACCTCTGGGTTAGTTACATCTTTTCCTCTTAGTTTATTTCTCTGTGAAGGGGAGAAAATAGTACGTAATTCCCATCTCTCAGGGTTATTTGGAGAATTTAAAAAGTGACTGCAGCAAATTAAACTTGACTTGAGGTTAACAAAACAAAAACAAACCTCCATGCTGACGCCTTGCAACACTGCAGGGTTGGGGTGAACTGCCCTTGTGAGTTTTATAACTATTTACAGGATTAGAAAGCCCCGTCATTCTCCGGCAGAACAACTGGGGATTTTGAACTGCTGACTGCAAAGAAAGTATCGTTCATAATCCCTACATCCAGGGCTCGTTGACTTAAGCACTCAGTGAAGATTACTTCTAGAGCCCCTAAGGAACCCTGGTGCTGCTGTGGGGTAAGCATTGGGTTACTAACCACAAGGTTGGCAGTTTAAACCCACCAGCTGCTCCTTCAGATAGAGATGAGGCTTCCTCTTCCTGGAAAGATTTACAGCCCCAGAAATGCTATAAGGATCTCTACTCTTTGTATTCAACCTCATCTGTCTGGCATGAGTCCGAATCGACTCTGCAGCAGTGGGTTTTGGTTTTTATAGCGTGCCTGGGTGGTACAGAGGAACCCTGGTGGCATAGTGGTTACACATCGGACTGTGATTTACAAGATCAGATGTTCGAAACCACCAACTGCTTCTCGGGAGAATGATGGGGATTTGCTCCTCTCATTAACAGTAATTGTCTTGGAAACTCCCAGGGGCCGTTCTACCCGGTCCTATAGGGTAACATGCTAGAAGTTGGCATGACTCAATGTTTGTTTATTTGTTTTGGTTGGGGAGGCAAGGAGTTGGTATAAATGTTACTCAGATAATAATTTTTTTAAATCATTTTATTGGGGGCTCATACAACTCTTAGCACAATCCATACATCCATCCATTGTGTGTCAAGCACATTTGTACATTTGTTGCCATCATCATTCTCAGAACATTTGCTTCTACTTGAGCCCTTGGTATCAACTCCTCATTTTTTCCTCTCCCTTCCCACTACCCCCTCCCTCACGAACCCTTGATAATTTATACATTATTATTATTTTGTCATGTCTTACACTGTACGACGTCTCCCTTCACCCACTTTTCTGTTGTCCATCCCCCCAGGGAGGAGGTTATATGTAGATCCTTGTAATCGATTCCCCCCTTTCTACCCCACCTTCCCTCCACCTTCCTGGTATCGCACTCTCAGCACGGGTCCTGAAGGAGTCATCTGTCCTGGATTCCTGTATTTCCAGTTCCTATCTGTACCAGTGTACATCCTCTGGTCTAACTGGATTTTTAAGGTAGAACTGGAATTATGATAGTTGGGGGTGGGGGAGGAGGAAACTCAGATGATAGTTTAAAGAGTGATGGTTTGATTCCATTGAGAGGTGTCTCAGAGAATAAACCTGGTGATCCACTTCCAAAAAATAAGCCATTGAAAACTCTATGAAACACAATTCTACTGCCAAACACATGGGTCACCATGAGTCAGAATCTACTTAATGCCAACTGATTATTATTATTTACCAAGTTGACATCTGATCTTAGCCAATGTTGGTCCCTGAGAATACTCCTTCAATTTGACTAGATCCTTCTATTGTATTTTCACATCTTGTATTTCTCTCCTCTCTAGCACGATTTGTAATTATTATTTATACATGTATTATTGCATTTAAAAAATTCCAGAGCACAGGGCTGTGCTTGTGCAGAGTTGCTATATAAACCAAGAGGCACCATCTGAACAGAGCAAGGGAACCCAGCAGGGTTTAACATCAAGGAATGTGTGTGTGAGGGCTTTATCCTTTTGTCATAATGAGTAAATAATCCAAGAGACTGGAGTATATGAAGAAGAGCACAGAATTGGGATTGGAGGAAGGGTCATTAATCACTTGTAATATTAATATGCAGATAACACAAGCCTGTTTGCTGAAAGTGAACTATATTTGAAGTACTTACTAATGAAAATCAAAGAATACAGCTTTCACTATGGATTATAATTCAATGTAAAGGAAATAAAAATCCACCCACTGGACCAATAGACAACACTACAGTAAGCAGAGAAAATAAATTACGTCGTTAAGGATTTACTTGGATCCACAATCAATGCTCTTGGAAGCAGCAGTCAAGAACTCAAACGAAGTATTACACTGGGCAAATTTTCTCCACCATATCTCTAACGTGTTCAGGAGCAAAGATGTCCCTTTGAGGACTGGGGTGCACTTGACACAAGCCATGGTATTTTCATTTGTCTCATATGCATATAAAAGTTGGACAATGAGTAAAGAAGCCTACAGAAGAATGGACACATCTGAATTGTAGTTTGATGAAGACTGTTGAAAGTGCCATGTCCTGGGAGAATAACAAAGAATTTCAAATCTGTGTTTGAAAGAAGTAAATCCAGAATGCTTCTTCCAAAGGAGGAGAGTGAGACTTTGTCACACAGATTTTGGACATGTTACGAGAGACCAGTCCCTGGAAAAGGGCTGCACGCTTGGTAAAGTAGAGGGTCAGCGAAAAAGAGGAAGATTCTCGATCAGAGAGACTGATCCAGTGTCTGCAGCAAAGGCTGAAACATAACAATTGTGAGGATGGGCAGGCCCGGGCTGTGTTTAGTTCTGCGGAACATGCATGCAGGGTGGCGATGAGTTGGTTCCAGCTCTACAGCACTTATTAACTAATAACATGTATTTGTAGCTGTTCTTGTTGGCTTAGATTCCTCTTCTTCCAAAAAATAGTATTTATCCTTCCTATGAACAGTGACTGCCAGACATGTCACTTTGTCATTCTGTAATGGCTTATGTGTGGTGATGCTGGACGTGATGCCACCAGTCACTCATAGTGGACAGGTTTCAGTGGTGCTTCCAGACTAAGACAGACTAGGAAAAGGGAAGAGATGGATCATTTCTGAAGAACTAGCCACTGAACCCTTCCAAATAACAGTGGAACATTGTCTGATAGAGTGCCACAAAATGACTACTCAGGTTCGAAGACACTCAAAATCCAACTGGGAAAGAGCAACTTCCTCAAACAGAGTTGATCTTAATGACATTAGTTGGGATGCAGTAATCTTAAATACTTGTTATATATAATATCTATTTATACACACACACACACAACAACCCAGTTGCTAACAATATGATTCTGACTCATAAAAGTCCTACGTGAGTCAGAGCAGAACTGAACTCAGTTTTTTCTTTTAATTGAAAGAACTTCATTTAGCATTAGCCAGATGGACTCGGTTAGATGACTCAGACTTTGTGGACAACATCTAAAGCGTCAGAGTCAGGAGCCAGTCTTACACAGGCCTTTTTCTCTCTGTCAGGCCTGATCAGGGGGTTGACCTTGGCTACATCAGTGTCGTAGAGCTTCTTCACAGCCCGTTTCATCTGGTACCTGTTGGCCTTGACATCCACAATGGACACGTTTGGTGTTATCTTCGATCTTCACGGCGGACTCTGTGGTCAGGGGGAACTTGATGACAGCATAGCAGTCAAGCTTGTTCCTCCTGGGGGCGCTCTTCTGAAGGTACTGGGCTGCCTTCCTCGTCTCAGGGCCATGGGCTGCTGAAAAGTGGATGTGCAGATCTGTGTGTGTGTGTGTGTCTGTGGACATCTTTCAGCATGGCCTTCTTGGCTTTTAACACCTTGCTTTGGTTTCTGTTTTGGGAGGGGCAGGGGTTTCCTTGTTGACCATGGGCTTCATCTTTGTAAAAAGGTCCATGGATCTGTTGGTAGAAAGAGGGGGAGGACCAACCCTCTAGTGGGGAATAAAATGACTAATAATACATTTATGGACCTCAAGAGGAGAGTATGCTGACACTATGCTTCTTATAGGGCCCATTGGTCCAAGTGTCTGTATAATCCTCAGGGATCCAGGCTATGGGTCATAGAATACCGAGACATTGAACCCTGAATCTTCAAGGTGCACAACATACTCCAAAGGCCATACCAGGAGGATGTGATGTAGAAACCCCATGACATGAACTGAGCTATACAGCAAGCACACGTGTAACCCGAAGACTTAAGGCCAAAATTACAAGGAATGTGAAGAAGCAGAGGAGAGCTATCCCCAAAGTATTGCCTATCAGAGGCAGACTAGCATATACGTACCACTTCAGTGCCCTCCTTGTATTACTAAGAGGTCTCTCAGGCTGGCAGACCTGGGTCTGACATTATCAGTGAGTATTATGTAAGTTTTACTTGACCACTGACTCCCATTGTTTGTGTAAATAACGTCCAGTCACCGAAGGACTTAATCTGTGCAAGCCAATAATCCAGGTATCGCGATGTGCAGTTAGCCTACACTTATTTAATCTCCCTTCCTCCATGGCGTTCTAAATACATGATCATGGGCTAAATCACTGACACTATAAACAGAAGAACCGTATGCTCCAGGAAGAGGATCCATAAGATTCGTTACCATAAAATAATAAAGCTGTCTCTCAGAGAACCAGAGGTAGACAGAAAACATAGATGTAGGAATGGGTTTGGGGCTCAAATGATCCTAGCTTCAAAGCGTCAATGTAAGATCTTACGACGTGGCCTTGCCTGATACTTGTCCTCACAAAGGACATGCGGGGTGCTATGGCAAAGAGTAGGGAAGAAATTAGATGGTGCCGGGCTACCACAAAGAATAGCATCTGGGGTCTTCAAGGCTGGTTTTCAAACAAGCAGTCATCTAAGTGGGGTATCAACTACGCCTACATTGAAGGGGTACAACTACGCCTACAACTACGCCTACATCGACATCTGTGAGCCAGGGTTATAAAAGATAAAGTCCAAATCCAAAAGAAGAAATATTATCAAGACCATAAATTGTAAAATTCTCATTTGCAGAATGCTATGGAGGACCGCGGACGTGCAAGACACATTTGTAGGATTTACGCATGGAACACGCCTTTGGTGATTTACGTGTGACCATTATGGAAGGATAGGAACAACGTGGTTATCAGACAGAGTATCAGAGAGATGATTATTGTAGATTAAAAGCATAGATATGAAAAAAAAAAGGATAGATCTGATGTAATGGTTAAAACCTTGTGATCTGATCTTCCTTTTGATACACTTTGACTTTATCTGGTTTTTAACATTTCCTTTTTTTCCACATAGGGGCTTCTCTCTGTTGTATTTTGGTATTGTTGGTAGCATTTTTGACCCTCTGATATGTATTTTTCAGTTTGGGTGAACACATAGAGACAATAACTAGAAGAAAGGTGCCTGGGGGTATGGCAGGTGAGGTAAAGGGGAGTTACTATTGAGGAGGTCTATACATCTTTACCAGATTCGACAGCCCCACCTTTTTCCTGTTCAGCAGCTGGTGGTCTGAACTGGCAACCAGGAATGGAATTGACGTGCAATTGTGAAATCAACAAATTATTCTTCATAATGTCTCCTTTTTGTAAGATTTGCACATGTTGACATTCAGTATATATTGAAGAACAGTAACAAAATAACTGTTGCTAAGGCAAAAGAGACAAAGTAACCCATGTAGTGGTCCTGGTTGCATAGTCTTAATGAGAGAGTTACCTGTATACAGAAACGTGTTGGAGTGCCCTCCTACCACCACATCCACGCCTCTCACTTTCTGAGCAATGAGTTTATCCATTTCAAAGCCAGAGTGTCCCAGTGCAATAATTTTGGTCACATTTAGAGCTTTTAGCTTATCCACTTCCTGTTGCACTGTAGTGATTTCATCTTCAAACACTAAATTCGTTCCTACAGAACAAATGAAATAAAATGGACATTAATTAGCATTATTTATTATTACATTGCTTACATACATGCCAGGATACCAAGTATAAGCACCTTAATTTGCCAAAGCTCTTAAATGATTTAGACTACAACATGTTTGCAAATTAAATAAATTTAAATTAAGTAAAATTTAAAGGAATATCATTCATTCACATTCATTTAACACTGCATCAATTACTTTAACCTTGTGGATGATATTGTTTTGCACAAACGAAATTCCACACAATAATGAGATTTCACATCTGGATTTGTTTCAATCTATTTTTATATTTAGATGTCCATAAGACCAGTGCATAAAATGGCTTAGCCTGTTTATAGAACAGTGCTATATAAGGCAACTTCAAGGCTTTGTTTGCAAGTTCAGGATCATCGGTCTTTAAATGTAACAAAATACTGCTGGCAAAGGGTTTTTGAACACCAATTTTAACATGCCGGTTGAAAACTTTGTCTTGTTCAATGGAAGATGAGGTTAACATCTGGGCATGACGGAAAACTGCGTTAAATAAGGTTCTAATCTATTTAGGGCTGGGGCTGGAAGAGTGAATGGTCTTCGCTGTCTGTGTACGCCTTGATGTCGTGGTACCAAACATCGCCCCTTGGCGAGTCTGACTGCATTAGCACCAGTTTCTCCCACTGTTTCTGTAGCCAGCTCTGAACCAGCCCTGCGGTCTGTGGCTTTTATTAGTACAGATTTGACTGCAAACCCAGGCAGAGGGTCGCTGTGCAGCCCTCTGCTACAGGGGAATCCTCCAGACACGCCAGATTTCCTGGTGCTGATTTCTAAAGCCCATCATTAAAATAAGAATGCCCCCCCCCCAAATCAGTGACCACTCATAGGAATTCCAAATGCTGAGCCCGCAAACCCCAGGTGGAAAAGTATTGACCCTGTCCAAGAGCAGTAAGAGTGCTCAAAACAGTGGGTGAAGGGAGACAGAGGACAATGTAAGATATGAAAATAATAACAATTTATAATTTATCAAGGGTTTATGAGGGAGGGAGGGAGGGAAAAATGAGGAGCTGATAGCAAGGGCTCAAGTAGAAAGAAACATATTTTGAAAATGATGATGGCAACATATGTACAAAAGTGCTTGACAGGGATCAGGTATCAAGGAACAAAAATCACATCATTGTGAATGAGGGGCAGTGCAGATTGGGGACCCAAAGCCCATCTGTGGGCAGCTGGACATCCCCTTACAGAAGGGTCATGGGGAGGAGGATAGCCAGTCAGGGTGCGATGTAGCAACGATGAAACATACAACTTTCCTCTAGTTCCTAAATGCTTCCTCCCCCGACTCTCATGATCCCCATTCTACCTTACAAATCTGGCTAGACCAGAGGACATACACTGGAACAGATAGGAACTGGAAACACAGGGAATCCAGGACAGATGATCCCTTCAGGACCATTGGAGTGAGGAGTGATTACCGGGAGGGTGGAGGGAGGGTGGAGTTGAAAGGGGGAACAGATTACAAGGATCTACATATAACCTCCTCCCTGGGGGACAGACAACAGAAAAGTGGGTGAAGGGGAGTCATCGGACAATGCAAGACATGACAAAATAATAATAATTTAGAAATTATCAAGGGTTCATGAGGGAGGGGGAGCAGGGAGGGAGGGTAAAAATGAGGAGCTGATACCAAGGGCTCAAGTAGAAAGAAAATGTTTTGAGAATGATGATGGCAACGAATGTACAAATGTGCTTGACACAATTGATATATGTATGGATTGTGATAAGCGTTGTATGCGCCCCCAATAAAATGATTTTTTTAAGTGCTTGACACAACGGATGTATGTATGGATTGTGATAAAAGCTGTAAGAGCCCCCAATAAAATTATTTTTTTTAAAAAGAGAACTAAAAACACATTCTTTGTTGCATTATAAGGAGCCAATACTTGTGTACTGAACACCTTGAATAGCACAAACTGTTCAGTGATTGACTACTCAAAATACAAACAAACAAACAAACAAGCAACCCCCAAAACCCACTGCCACTGAATCGATTCTGATGCACACTGACCCTACAGGGCAGGGGAAAACTGCCCTTGTGGGTTTCGGAGACCCTGAGTGTGTATGGGAGTGGAAAGCCTCATGTTTACAGGAATAGAAAGTAAGGCACCTGGTAGTACTGACCTGCTGACTTTGTGGCTAGAAGCCTAACTCATGACCCACTATACCACCAGGGTTGGGAAACCACCCAGGGGCATCTTAGAGGGGAAGCCTGGTGGTCTGTTTCTAAAGTTTCCAGTCTTGAAATTCTATGGAGTTGCTCCACTCTGCATACCTGGAATGGACTTGTTGTCTAACTAACTAACTAACTAACTAACTAACTAACTAACTAACTAACTAACTAACTAACAACTAACTACAACACTGTATGCTGTGACAGGAAACTCTAAAGGTTTTAACATCAGTTAACTCAACATGTGGATATTACAATGAACGATAAACCACATGATTAATGACAGAGATGAGAAGGTCCACCCAAATGGTCTGAAAATTCAAAGTTCCCATATGTCTTGTGTTTGGGGGTACAGCGATTCCAGTAAGTTGTAAGCAACATTTAAAATCTAGAGTTGCAACAACTGTGCCACTACTGTCAGCTATGAAACATCAAGAGTCAATGTGGTTCCCCTGCTTGCCTCTCAGCACTACGCCACCTTTTCTGCGAAACTTTCCCTGGCCAGCCCTTTAAGGCAGCGGTTCTCCACCTGTGGGTGTCGACCCCTTTGGGGTTCAACTGACCCTTTCACAGGGGCCACCTAAGACCACTGGAAAACATATTTCCAATGGTTGGGGGTTACCATAACACGAGGAACTGTATTAGAGGGTCGCGGCATTAGGAAAGTTGAGAACCACTGCTTTATTTTATTTTATTTTATTTTTTTTTAGGGAAAAGAAAGGCTTTATCTGGACAAACAGATGCTAGTCATTTCTGTGTTTCTGGACATCAGCCAGAGAACCACTGCTTTAAAGTAAAAGGATGTGCCCTGCCCTGTGCCACACTTGCCTTTGTCCCTCCCGCTCAAATTTCTCCACAGTACCCACCAAGTTTGCACACACTAGCCATCGCAAGTGTCCTCCCACTGAATATATACGCGCCCATGGCTAGGGATTTTTTTTCTTTTTCTGAGGAAGGGAGTTAGTAATCTTGATGCCTACAATAGTGCCTGGCATGTAAATAAACATGAAGTGCAATAGATGAACAAATGAGGAACAGAATGCTGGGACCTTCATGTAATGCTACCATCGGCTGCTTTGGTGTGACAGCAAGAAGGGATAGAAAAGTTCAGACTGATGTCTCAGAGGACAAAGGGATGCATTCTCTACACACATCAAACACCTACCTCCCGGGACCAGGTATCACACCAAGAAGCCAGGAGATGGATTTCAGGATGCCAAAAGGAGAATTATATTGTAGGCATTTTATTACCTCCCCAAGTAAATGAAAGGCACTAGGAGTACAAGTTATAGCTGTGGGATTCCAGACTGAAGGGATTGGGCTGGCTTAGGAGCCAGGATCAGAAAGAACTCGTGCCAGCCCGCTGAGTCTTGGTCTTAGCAGAGGTAGGTGCTCCCCGAAACATTCCATCCTACTCACTCCAACTCACCCCACAATAGTCAGTGGACAGTCCAACCCATGATTCCCAGGAGCTGTTATCAAGAGCGCCATGCCTTCTGATGCCCCTGGGCCCCCAGCACAACCTCCAGTTTCTCTCCTGTAACATAGGGCTCGCAGCCTTCTACTCCATGCAGTCTGATGGCTGGAATCTCCACGTCTCTAGCAACAACCTCTCTCACCTCTTAGGTCCTGGTTGCTGACAATGAAACATGCATAAAACTTTTCTCCACATTCTGCCTGAACTCCATCAGGCTTTCGGGAGCCCTTCACTCAAGTCTGTCATTACCTGGGTGGTTCCCACATTTCTGCTCTCAGTACTCATTCCACTCAAATATACTGCACACCGTGCCCCAACTGGCAGGTCAGTGAATGGGGTGGACAAAGTTCCCATGCTCATCAAGCTTAACAATCTAGTACGTGACTCCAGATTCCCTTCTGGAATGCCTTTGCTCCCAAGATGCTTCATGTGCAGACTCCTTGTGGGGATCAAGGCAGTTCTTTCCCAAGATGACCTGATCCCCAGGACAACCATCAAATTCCTTCCCCAAATCCCGACTTTGTTCATGATTCTCTTACAGCCTTAAATCACATTTGGTCTTAAGTGAACTAAAAGAAAACAAACCCAGGCAATGAAATACAAATCATACAGACAGTCTGCTCTTGAATTTGCTATCTAATGAGCACTTACTCAGTTTTTCAATAAACTCACATCTTCACCCAAAGATCCTAAGGTAGTCTCTATAATAGGCTTCAAATGCACAGCGAGGAGACACTTAGGCTCTGACGGCAGGTTGCTCAGGTCCATGTGGGAAGCAGAGGGTAAGGGACAAATGGGATACACCAGTGTGGCTGTACCCAAAGACACATGTGTGAGCTGGGAGCACTGGGGACCCAGAGGGAGAGTGTCCAGCCCTCTGGGCAGGTGCGTTCTCTAGCCCTCTCCATGTCCAGAGCCGGTTTGTTAGCATGTCAGGCAGTCTTTACCCACATTTTGCAGACAGACTAGAGAGGCCCTGGGAAAATTAATCATCAGAGCCCTGCTCTCTGTGGAGGGAGGTGGGAGGACCACGGGCTGGCTGGACAGGTTGGAGAAGGCCAGCCTCAGACTGCTTCGTCAGGTCCTTGTGGTGTGAGCACATCCCTCTTAGTCAGCAAAGTACTTACTAAATGTTTCAAAAGTGAGAGAATCCTCAAAGGGGAGCTCATAGGCACACGCTACCCCAGTAATCACCTTAAAAACAACAGCTAATACCAGTGGCTTCACGCAGTTTAAGAAGGCTTGCTCACCCCTGAGGCGGATGGCCCATGCCACCTCTAGCACGGAGAACCCCTGCCTGTACAGTGGCGAGCAGAAAGGCTCCACTGCTGCCCTACCTTCAACTTTGTCTCCTTTCTCAACAGCTGACCTTTATATTGATATTTTTCAATGGCCTAGGCTTTCTGTAACAAGAATAAACATACTAGTTTTCTAGTTGTTGAATCTTCTACCAGTTAATTCTTAATGGAAACTTTTGTTTCTGAATTTCTAGCTCCTACCTTCCTTTTTTCCCCCCTCCAAATATGGAAATAAACTTAATTTGGATATATTTAGAGAAAACTCATTTCTTCTCTCACTACCAAAGTGTTTCAGTAAAAGCAATTCAATGACAACTGCTTAAAAATAGTTCTTGAATGGTTATTATATATACACGAGAAGGCTTCAAAAAGTTCATGGGAAAATGGCATTAATCATTTCATTTCTCCACAATCTTTTTGAAGCCTCCTTGTATATATATATATGTGTATGTATACACACATATGTGAATGTATATATAGCCACATATGAATGCATACATACATATCTTGGTGGCACAACTGTTAAAGCACTTAGCTGCTAACAGAAGGTTCTAAACCACTTTTCTTTGATGGAGAGAGCTGTGGCCGTCTGCTTCCACGGGATTCACAGCTTTGGAAACTGATGGGGTAGTTCTATGTCCTTACAGGCCACTCTGAGCTGTACACAAGTGGATGGCAATGGCTTTGGTTTCTGGGTTTCTTTGGGTGCTATTGAGCTGACTTCAACTTGAAACAGACAATGGGGCTGCGGCGAGGTGGGAAAATAGAATCAAAAGATAATGGGATTTTTCCACGAACGTTTTGAAGTTCCTCATCTATAGGAGGGTGCATAAAAAGGTATTGCTACAAAATCATAGAAGTTTCATTTAAAAAGACCTCAGAACGTGAAGCTATTGTCTCTCATCTCGGCCAGCACACCTGTGAAGGCATTGTTTCCATCTCTCTGATCCTTTCCCAAAGAATTCTGCCCTTTTCAATTTTTCCTCAACTTTTCAGTTTTCAAGTACTCAAAGTGTGTTTCTTTGAAATATTCTTTTAAAGTTTCAAGGGAAAGAGAAGAGGAAGAAGAAGTCTAAAGGGGCCAGATGAGGACAGGTGAGTGGATGGGTAAGGTTCCCAATGATGTTCCCCTTGCTGTCCTCAGAGAATGAGTAGGGTTCTTGTCATGATGGAAAAAATTCCACGGTTCAAAGTTCTTGCCATATTTTCTCACCAATACGTTTAAAATTTTCCTGAAACTTCTTCCTAATAAGCCTCTATGATCATTCTGTGTCCTTGGAGAAAAATCTATCAAGTTGACCCTGTTGGAATCCCAGGAAAAAAGTTACTATAAACTTCCGAGCTGACCTCTCTGTCTTGAATTTAGTTGGCTCAGCAAGTCCTCTCAGAAGGTGCTATTTTGATTATTTTAGAAGCCTCCCTATGGAGACTGAGACAAGTGTAATGCTGAGAGACCTTGTCTGTTGCATCCACAGATGGCAGACAATGTTCAAACATCGTTTTTTTGGCATAAACTTATTCATGTATCAACCGAAATCCTAAAAGCAATCATTTTTTACTCATTCTCAGATATACACAAAAATGTATATATCTGAGAATGAATCAAAAAGCATATACACACGTGTGTATGCATTCTATATTCACGTGTCTTGAATATATATACATATACACATCTCGACTGATATATTCATAGAATATATATTTTCTACAAAAGTTTTAATATAAAAGAAAATATATATATATTTAATATAAAAGAAAATATATATTTTCTACAAAAGTTTTAATATTAAAACTCCAAAATATCAAAAGAGGAAAAGGAGCATCAAAATTAAAGATAAGGCAAGCTACTGGAACTGATCTCAGATCCCAGTTCTGGGGTTCCGTCTCCACCCGGGAAGAGATAGAGAGTTGTGTGGCTCATTCTCCAACAGGGCTTAGCTTTGGATCCCAATGGCTTTCACTTCCAATTTAAAAGGACAGGACAAACTTACTCTGAAAAAAAAACGGTCATTTGTGTCAACAAAGATGCTCAGAAGAGAAAAGTCTGTAAGAAAAAACTCAGACTCTGTGGAACCGAAGGGAACTTCTGCCCGGTCCTGCACGTTGTTCCTACTTTTACCACAAAACAAAACTCACTGCCACCACCTCAGTGCTGACTCACGGCGACCCTATAGGACAGGGTAGAACTGCCCTTGTGAGACTTTCTGAGACTCGGTGTGGAGTAGGAAGCCCTGTCTTTCTCCCACAGCGCCTCTGGGGGTTTCAAACTACACACCTTGCAGATCACAGCCCAACACCAGGTCTCCTAGTACTTTGACCTACATTCCATAAAAATAATGCCATGCTCTGACTTAATGCTTTGTAGTGATTTTATAATGAGAAAATACCTGGATTTGAGAGAAAAGGGGTCTCTCTTGAAGTGTATCCAACTATTCCCACAGCTTCATGACCAACGTTAAGAATTTTGTATGGAAAATAGAGACCAGAGATTTGAGATGCTAACGGCCCTTTTGCCTTAATGTTCGCACTCAGAATTGGAAATTTCACACCTCTAAGGAGAGGATCCATCAGTCCTTCTACACCATTATCGAATTCATGGTTTCCCAGGGCCTAGTAGAAAAAAGAGAACAAGAATTAGATATTCTGGAATGTCCAATAGAAACACATTTTAGACAATATTACTCCAGGGTCTCCCAAAGTTGCCAAGGGCCTATGGAGCAGAGATTCCAGGACCTCATGTCCACCTCCCCCTCCTTCCCACAGATTTCAGTCAGCAGGCCTGGGGTGCAACTCAGGGCCACCCAGGACACCAGGCTGGCCTTCAGGCTGCACACCACCTCCTGAAGATGACCTCAGAGTGCTTGAGCAACCACTGGAGGGCGGTATGGAGTACAGCATTCCACCACCCACAGACATTCCCAATTTGTCCATGTAGGGCAGGTTCAAGGGCATATACTGCACTGTTTAGCCTATCATATCTCTCAAATTCCACATCATGCCAAATGCCATGTGGAACCATTAAAACCAACAGGATTTTAGCAAAAGGTAGCATATTGCCATCAGACACAAAAGATCTCTCTTCCTCATGAGTCTTCTATACAGTGAACCCTCGCCACTTCGCGCTTCGACTTCCGCGGCTTCACTCTATCGCGGTTTTTGCATAACAGCGCATGCTCTGTCATTACTGCCACTGATTGGCTCATACTGTACACGCTTGATGCCATAAATAATATAATAAATAATAAATGATAATTGTAACGTCCAAAATGTTTCACTGTATTTTCCCTTTTTCGTTTAATAAATTGGGTAATACGAGTGTAATGGTGACTAAAGGGTGTTTTTTCATGTCCTCTATGCTCTAACTACAAAAATATTTGATTTACAAATAAGGAATCCTACTTAGCGGAATTTCATTTATCACGGTAGGGTCTAGAACCGATTAACCGCGATAAATGAGGGTTCATTGTATTCCTATAGCAATCCCTGCCCTCCCACTCCCACCCCCAAGATTCTAGTGGTCCTCTCATTCTTCAGGGAAAATCAAGATCCCAAAAGGCAAATAGGTAGCGTTGTCCCTATTGATAGGGTGGCACCAGTCCCTTCCTCAGGAAGATCAGGGCCACCTTTCGTTTCATCTCCAGCAGCTTCCCATCTGCGGAAGAAGGTGGCCACGTTGAAGTGAACACGAGATGGTCTCCCCCTTCCCCTTCCCCCGATGATCTGGAACAAGCTCATTTCCTTTAAGTGCCTGCCCACCGACTCTGGATGCTAAGGCTGTTTTACTAACTCAGTACTTAAAATGAATGGGTCTCAAACTTTTTCCGCCCCAAGGCTTCTTTTTTATTTTATTAATTGGGATTTAATACATATATCACATCATTCTTTAGTTCAATCATGTACAGTAGAATTGTACAATTGCTACCACAATCAGTTTCCAAACATTGTTTCCCTCCCTGGACTCCTTGGCATCATTTCCCTTTTAAACACCCCCACCCCCACCCCCACTACCACACACACACTCTACTTGCTGTCCCCGCAGGCTCATCAATCCTGGGTTTCTTAAACCGAAAAAAACGGGAAAACACATTTTATTGGTCAATGTGCTTTGGAAGAGGACGTCAATCCTACTGCTTCCAATCCCGGAAGGAAGAGCTGTACCAGTGCCAAGGGGTCCACAGGGTGTTTCGTGTCCCTATTACTTGTCGATCCAGTCATAGCCATGAGACTTGTAGCCCCCCAATTCCTCCGCTTAAACCAGAGGCTGATTTCGTTCTCGGCGCTTTTGACCCACGCTGCCATGAATGTTGACCCACTTGAACACAGAAGTCCCCTTCGAATGGTGCTGGTTTGGAATCCACTGGGTTGGTCTCCCCAGCATCACCCGGGCCGTCCTTACCACCTTTGGCCCCTCCCAGACCATGGCCACAATGGGTCCTGAGTCCATGGACTTCACCAGCCCTGCGAAGAACAGGTGGTCTTTCAGGGCCATGTAGTGCTGCTTCAGGTGTTCCTTGGAGCCCTTAACTCACTTCATGGCCACCAGGCAGAATCCCTCCTGCTCAAAGCGCCTGATGATGTGGCCCACCAGGCCCATCCGGCTTGATGGCAATGAAGGTGCCCTCATTGTTGGCAACAGTGTGAACCAGCTGGTGGGAGTGGGCGGCTGAATGCGTGGAGCTGGGTCAATTTTTTTAAACACCATACCTGGCATTGTAGATTATTTGGGAACAGGCCTGGGTGTGCTGGCTGGTGGCCCTCCCATCTAGGGTCCTTATTTATTCTCTTATAATGTCTACATGACGCAACAGCTTATTGGTGACGTCATGCATTTATGTCTGTCTTCTCCATTGACTGAGCGCACCCTCAATTACCATGTCCTCAGCCCCCACCTCTGTCCTGCTCAGTGTCATAGCTCTCACTTGGCACATGGGGACTTGTTGAGTATCTGTGGCACACATGATTAGGTGTAACGTATCCTTTTGTGTATATGTTCCACAGAGAAAGTGACACAATGGCTTTAAATTCCCACCTATCTGTCTCCTTTATTAAATTCTGAACTTCTGAATTTGCCAGTTTCTCCACTGTGACTCCTTTTCGCTTCTTTGCCATACCTAATTCACTTCCTTCTTACAGGCTTCTGTTCCACAAGTTTCTCCCAGTCTTGTCCTTTTCTCCTCTATTCCTACAAAGTCATGGCTTTTTGCTTGGCAAAATAAGTCCTTACTGTATTACAATCACTAGCTTGCCTAACTAATTTTTGTAAATGAATGTTCCTATAGAAATATTATTTCCAAAATAACTCCTAAAATTTATTGTGGTTGTGATTGTACAATTCTTCTGGATATGACTGAACGATTGAACTATTGAATTGTATGCTATGTGGATTAGGTACCAATAAAAATGTACAAACAACAACAAAAAGAAATAGTATTTCACTTGCCACCTCCTTTGCAATCTACTGGCAAAAGGCTCTTTCATGCATTTGGCAATAGTTGAAGTTATATTTTTCACGTATCTGCTCCTCGTTTAATGTCCCCCGCATCTTTCCCCATTTGAGTGTAGCCTTTTGAAAGTGAGGCTTTGACTGCCTTTTCACCCCCCTCTCTCTCTGTGTTGGGAAAAGATCATCAATGGTGTTCTATAAACACTTGTGAATGGACTAACCCAATGGTCTCATTCACAATCGTATCTTCAGCTCCAAGATTAAAAGTTCCAACTCAGACTATTCTCTTGGCCTCTAGATCAGTGTGTTTAACTGCCATGGTACAGGTCTCACAGGTACGCCTAGATGATCATGCTCCAAGCCCCTCTTCTAAGATCCTCCGCCTTGGCCCATGAGGCCGCCATCTACCCAGTCAGATCCTAGAGCAGCTTGAACACCACCCCCTCCCCCACCCTCGCTGCCTCTCTAGCATTGCTCTCTTCACCAGTGTGGCTGATTATGGTGGAGTCCATTCTGCTGCTCCAGTGTTCCAATATCTACAGAACAGAACTTCTCCACAGGGCTTTCAAGGCTGTGACCTTTTGGAAGTGGATTTCCAGGCCTACTTTCCAAAATGCCTTTGGGGGCTCTGAACTGTCAACTTTTTGGTTAGCCGTCAACTGCCTTACATTTGCACTGCCACTGCAGATAGCTAGCAGGACATCAGTTGACGTCAAGTCAGTTCTTACTCATGACACCGAGTAACACTGTGTTGTATAGGACTTTTCGTGGTTGATTTTTTGGAGTGTGTCATCAGATCTTTCTTACATAGTGGCTCTGGGTGAACTTGAACCATCAGCCTTTGGATAAGCATCATAGATAGATAGATAAGCAGAAGGACTAGTCCCTCTTCTGTCATGTGTGTGAACTGCCTTATCAATGAATGGCTTCAGCTCCTGCAGTCTAGAGGTCCTTCCAGACAACTCACTGCCTAACCACCTTCCCTTGTCTTCTCTGAGCGACATGCGCCTCCTCTGCTTGGATGGGCATCCCTGTGCGACCCTGCCACCCTCTCCTCCGCTCATGGAGGACTCAGCCTCTTTACAGGGTGCTTTTTCTCTTAGTTCCTTCTGGTGGCCAGCAGTCACAGCAGGTGCACTGCTAATGAATAAAAACATAACGAGAAGCATCTCTAAGAAACAGCTTGTCTTTCTGTATTACACAGATAGCTTTTCCTACAATGATCAGAAAAAAATCCTTTCTTGACAGCTGTTTTCTTTAGAAACTCTTATTTTCATTTTCTCACCTTTACTTTCACCTGTTTTTTCTTTCGATTGCATTGACTAGAGCTAAATTATCCATCAGTTCTTTTAGAAGGAAGGTCATGCCACTTATCTTAGGGCACCAGGCACCCGCCACATTGCTGGTAATAAATACATTCATCCTATTTATATAGTTCTATTATTTTATTAATAATATAAAAACACCTCGGAAAAAAATTCTGCCCAAGAGAAAAACATGAAGCAATAAAAGAGACACCAGCATAACAGAACAGATCTTTCATTCTTTAACCTTTTATAAAGCTCTTAGAGAGCAAACACAGGACATTAACAATTCATATTACAGTATTATTCCTCCTTTTATGGTCCTCTATGATTTTCATCCAACTTTCCTAGTGCATGCTTGATAACTTCTTTGTCTCAGTGTCCACAGTCCTCTTACCATTAATCTAGATTTTAGCTAAACTGTTATTTGTCACTTACACCTTTAATCCTTGTCTTAGGCAAGTGATCTCCCTGACCTTAAATGCTTGTATATGTACACGCACACAGGCTGGCTTTCTCTCACATTCCAACATTTCATTTGTAATATTGGCCTTAAATATTTTCTAATCCTTTTTATTCACTAATGCTCAGCCTATGACAACTTTGTGTATTTTTATGATAAACAGTACATTTCACCAGATGTATTTTTCAACAATTGAAGAGAGCTGATTCTAGCCAATTTATCTTAATTAGTAGGTCCAACACCTACTAGAAATGCAATATGAACATTTGGTCCAGCTGCAACTCCTCAGCCCCACATCTTGGTGCAGGAGAAGGCCAAAGAAACTAATACATATTCGTTCAATACATCTGTGGCAGCAATGATCGAACCTGTGAGTTTCCCGTATTGTGATGGCTTGCAG